TGCATATGTTGTAACTTTAAGAGAAATCAGGTTTAATTTAATAAAATTTAATAATTTGTATTAGTTTTAAAAATAAAATGTGTGAGGAAATATAGAAGAAATAGGAGGTTTGGATAGGGACAACATGGTATTTTTAGATTTATATTGAAATATTTGGTCCTTTTAGATAATTTTAATTTTTATGATCCTTTCTCATAAATATCACTCTCTATTGGTCCTTTTCTCTAATTCTCCTTTTTTATTTTTTATATTAGCTCTCTATGAAAGTTGTACAATAAAATTTTTTCACTTATTAGGCAGCCATTATAGTTATGAGAGTTGTTAATATCGTTACATGACTTCTTAACTGCATTACTAAAGTTGTAAAAATGCTACTTTTTGAATTTTTTTAAAAATCTATTGTTAATTGTTATATTAAACTTGTTAATAGCATTACAAAACTTATTAACCGTTTTACTGAAGTTGTAAAAATTTTTCCAAAAAAAGTAGTTATTAAAGTCATAAAAATGCCATTTTTTTAATTTTCTAGAAAGCCTGTTGTCAAATGCTATACTGAAATTGTTAATAGAGTTATGGAACTTGTGAATGGTGTTACTGAAGTTGCAAAAATGCTATTTTTTTAAATTTTCTGAAAAACCTGTTATTAATTGTTATACTGAACTTGTTAATAACATTACAAAAGTTATTAACCATTTTACTGCAGTTGTAAAAATTTTCAAAAAAATTGTTGCCGGTTGCCAGATCTATTGGCGGTGGCAGCATGAGATTCAGTGATCGACCGGCCAGTGAGAACACTTAGTTTTTTTAAAAATAATAAATAAAATAAAAGGTAACATGATCATTTTAACAAATTTATAAATATCAAATTGGTCACTTATAACTAAATTGGAATTTTATAAATTCAAGTGACTCTTTTGACATTTTAAAATTCAAGTACCATTGTTGTGTCATTTTTTCTAATTAATAGTAGGTATGCAAAAGCTTAAAAAGCAAGAATAAAGATACAAGACAGATGATCTCTCAGCCTACTTCAAAAGCGCCCCTGAATACTAAAAAATTTACTTTTGTTTCTGGTTAAACAGACGCACCCTGTGGGAGCACTCTGCTCCGACGACCTAATAGTCTTAACATTCTATAGACATTGTGATATGTATTCGTAACTGGATACAAGACATCTGCAAAGTAGACACTGCTCCCTTACTGATATCTACTAGTTCAATTTGCTTCTTATTATGTGCGCACGACAGGAAAGAAATGTTTAAGAGGAAAGCCGATGCCCATAAAGCTAGGTGAAAGATTAGATACTGAAACTTTCCACTGCATACCATTGAAGAACACCTTTCCTTCCTGATAATCTCCATGTATTCCTTCTTTTAACATCCCTTAATTCTCTGAGCAACCAAAGAACAAATATTCAAATTCAATGAGCCCATAGGCAGACACAAGTAGACCGAAATCTTACGCTAATTGGAAACTTGGACTGAAATCGAACATAGGGGAGGTCCAGTTAAGCGATAGTCGGACTAAGGGACGCTTCAGAAGTGAAACCCTAGAGTTGTCGGGCAGGAAAAGAGAGGCGGAGGGAAGAGAGGATGAACGACAACAAACGGCGGTAGGCGTAGGTGCAACACCGGATTATCTACAATCCGAAGATTGAATTGGGTCGGACGCATGAGAGAGTTGTGCACTCTGCTTTGATTCAGATAACACGCGCTTTCTGCCTCGCATCAGAAGAAGAAGAAGAAGGACTTGGTGTGATTGGAGATCGAATGAATATGGACAAAGAACGAGGCAAGTGGGAGTCAGGGAGCGGGTGGTACGTGACTGCTTGTAATTTCTTAAACCGTGAAAAAAATCTGACCTCGTCAATTTTCTTCGCTTCCCCAAGAGTTTCGCTGAAGAATTTATGTCTTCATTATCCCAAACTCCCCCTCAAAAAAAAAAAAATAAATCTTTTCCCGCGAATTTATCATCCTCGTAAATTTTACTCCCCGAACAAAAAATCAAGCTCAGAAATTTCATTTTCATGTTCTTAATAAATGACAATAGTTGGTGGGCAAAAGCGAAAGCAAGAGCAAGAACATAACATAATTAGGTAATTAACAAAATTAATTCGCAATCAATTTATAATCAAGTACAAAACAACTTTACCTTCTTCTAGCCGGATAGAAAACAAATCTTCAATTCCCCTTCCTGTGAGTGACTGCTAGTCTGCGACACCTTAACTGGGGGAAAAAAAAGAAGAGTAAATTTATATTGGATAGAAAGCGGCCTTTTGTGTTTGGATTTTGCAAATAGAAAAAATTATATTGAAAACGATTTTTGATATTAAAATCATAAGAGACATTGGGTAATAAATAGTAATAATGAAAAATTTTAGGATTAATGCAGTTTTTATCCCTTAAATTTGCTCTTATTTAAATTTGGTCTCTTAAATTTTTAACAATAGGTTTTGGTTCTTTAACTTTCTTGTTGTTTAAAACATTTGTCCCTATAATTTAATAAATATTTAGACTATTTTATCTCTCGAATGACTAAAACTTATGATTTGAAATTTGATAGGCTAAAACTAAAATTCATATGAATTTAAAAGATCAAAAATTATACTAACCCAAAATTTTATTTTTTCCCCTTAAAAACCCAAAATTTTAATATTAAAAATTCATTTTTTATACGAAAGGAAAGAAACGTGAGAAAGGCACAGCGCAGTGGCTGGGGAAGGGCCGACCCAGCAGGCGTTAGTGGCAGACAATCAAAACGTTACCCACTTCCCCACCTTTTCCCTCTCCCCCTCCCCCCTCTCTCACACTATAATATTAAAATACTGACTTGGAAAGAAAAAGCATAAACACAACACGTTGCCCTGCCCTCAATTAGAAACAGAGGATGAAGCCTCTGCCACTCTGAGACGTGAGCCAAACTGCCAAAGTTTTGTCCTCCTTTCTTAGGACACCTACGTTGTTATAGATCCATAATTTCGTATGTACAGCGCAATGAAGTAGGAGTGAATTCAGGCAGAAGAAGAGAAGAACAAGTAAAGAGTAAATCAATCACATTACCTGACTCCAAATTCCGATGGCTGATGAGATGGATATATCACAATCTGTAGCATACACACATACAATGACAGAACCCGCCCCTGTGCCTTGTTTCAATTCATATATATGTATGTGTTTTCAGTTCAGTTGTTTGATGAGGATCATAATAACAACATCTTATGAACTTGCGCTATAATGATTATCATTGTTTGATATCAAAATCCTAACACAATACACAACAATACATAGTATCTCAAAGTTCAACAACATGCTCTAATGTTCCACTATTTAGTTTAGTAATTGCTAATTACTTCAACATTGCAATCAGTTATGTTGGTCTTTCAGCAAACTCTTAGGCCACATATGTCATGTTCCCTTTTCTGCATGTAGTGTCCAACCTTTGCGCTTGAAGGTATTCACCCCAGTTTCTCCTGCAAAAAGCAAGGAACAAACTAGCTTCATGTTAAGGAAATCAGAAAATAATAATTACATTTTTATAACAGAAAGAGAAACCAGAAATTAAAATTCAAAGAGCAGAGGCGTTTTATGATTAATTTGTTCTGCTACCAAAGTTCAAAACCTTCCACTAGTGGTAGTTCATGGATATTTATTTTCATTATATAATAATTATGCACAACATGAATTTGACTTTTTCATGTAATTATAGTTACATCTCATAAGTACTTAGTTTCCAAAAACGTAGGTTTGTGAGTTTTTTTTGGGTGATATTACACCAGCTCAATGAATTTTAAGCTGATTTAACTACTTGATGATGATAAAAAAAAAACATAAGATTGACAAGTTGTTTAGATCTGATACTACATAATTACAAGTAAGGTTAAATACTGATGGCCAAAAAAAAAGTTAAATACTAAATGCACAGAAATTAAAAGCACAAATATATAGTAGAGTGGAAAATAATTAATAGTAGGTATGCAACGCAAAAGCTATAAAGGCAAGAATAAATATATAGGAAGGTATTACCAGATAGCCTCTAAGCCACCTATTGTGCTTGTCATGTGCAGTGCAACCATAACATAAATAGAATCCATCAAATTGTTTAGGAATTTGAAGTGCGCATGCCTCCAGGAGCGATTAAAAAGCACTGGCCCAAAAACTCCCCAAAATCCAACGATGAATCCAAACGCCATGCTCCAATAAAACTCCCTAGAAATAATTGAGTCATTATCATCTTGGAATTTAACTGATTCTTGAGGTCGTTCCTCCCTATCAGGACACTTTACCTCCAGTGGTTTTCCACATAGGCCAAGATTTCCTTCATAGCTTGAGTTATCAAAACTCTGCAGTTGTGTGCTAGTTGGAATTTTTCCAGAAAGGTTGTTATATGACAAGTCTAACACTGCAAGACGATCAATTTGAGCAAAACTAGAAGGAATTGGACCAACGAGATGGTTTTTTGACAAATCAAGAGAGTCTAATGATTTTAATCGTCCAATCTCCGAAGGAATTTCTCCGTGTAACTGATTTCTTGATAAATTTAGTGATATCAGCCCAACTAACATTCCTAATTCTCGTGGAATTTTTCCACTTAACTTGTTGCTTGAAAGATCAAAGCCTGTAACCAATATGTCACCGTTAAATTTGCGTTCTTGGTGTTTCCACATCAGCACAATTGGTTCGTATTCAAAATAAGCTCTTCCATTGAAAGTAAAAACTGCAGTCTCACCAATACTACCATCAGAATAATATGCACTGTCTAGAGCCATTTGTCTGAATTTTTTGAAGCATTTGGGGATTTGTCCAGATAGAATGTTTAAAGAGAGGTCCAAAAATTGAAGGTTTGATAAATAACAAAGATGAGTTGACAAGCTTCCAGAAATGTTGTTATTTCGTAAGATTAAAATTTTCAAATTTTGCAATCCATCATTATTCCCAATCTGTGAAGGTATACATCCAGAGAACTTGTTTTCCGCTGCATCAAGAATTACTAAATTTGAGCAATTACTCAAAGTAATGAGCAACTCCTCGGTAAACCCATTGTTTCTCAAAGATTAGTGCTTCAAGATCTTGTAGGGAACCAACAGAAATAGGAAATTCTCCAGAGAAATTATTGTTACTCAAGTCTAAAAACATCAATGATTTGAAAGGGCTCCAACAATTAGGAAGCTGTCCATATAAGTGATTATCAGCAAGGTCTAATACCTCCAATCTTTGATTTGACCCATCTGCACACAAAAATGTGTGAAATTCTGAAAAACTATTATTTGACACATGAAGGACCATTGTATTTCGTAGAAATTTTGGAAGTGAGCCTTCGAAGTGATTCGAAGCTAGAGATATAAGAGGGTATTCACCAAATTCAATGGCAAGATTTGGCAATGTACCAGAAATGTTGTTGCATGAAACATTCAAGTATATAAGCCGTGGTGTCAACAAACCCCAAAACCACTCTGGAATAGTGCCAAAAATTCCATTATTTGAAATGTCAAGTTCTGTAAAATTATTTCGAGTCTGCAACCATTTCGGAAAATGAGGACCCAACTCGCATGACCCCACATAGATGGCTTCTAATTGAAATGGTGGGACCCAATCATGACTAAATCTCAAAGTCAATGAGTTATCAGATAGATCTAAAACTTTCAAGTTATGCAAATTGACAAGATTTGAGTTTGTGAGAATGCCTTTTAAGGAGTTGGAACTAATATCCAAAGACACTAGTGATGACGGAAATCGGTAATCATTGGGTATTGTCCCATTCAACAGGTTATATGAAATATCAAAATTCTTCAAAGATGAGAATGTGGAAAGGTTTACTAGTGTGCCGGTGATTTCATTATAGCTCAAGTCCAAGTATTCCAAAGAACACCGGGCACAACTAGAAAATGTTTCAAGAATTGTTGAAAGTTCTTCACTCAAAAGATTATCCCATAGGGATAAAGAACGTAAGGTACATGTATGCCCTAAGAATTTAAATCCACCCTTAAGTTGATTATACCCAAGGTCTAGATTCTCCAGAGAATTCATCATACTAGCAAATTCAAAAGGGATGGGACCCTCTAGCTGGTTCGACTGAAGACTAAGATTAAAAAGGTTGGGGCTGATGTTTAAGATCCAATGGAATACTGCAGATGACTTGAAATTATTCTCCTTGAAATCCAATTTAGAAAGAGAAGAAGGGGAATTGAATTTTAAAGAGGGTAAGGAGAGGATATGCTTATCTGAAAGATAATTGGTTATAGCTAGCTCTTTCAAGTTGGACAGCTTTGCAATCATTTGCAACCACCTGTAAGAATATTTGAGATCAATTACATCTTGCAGCTCTAGACGGGTCAAAGAAGTGAGACTAGACAGCCACTCAAGTCCAGCACCATTTTCTTGATCAATCTCGAGAATGCCTTGGCCATTTAGAAGAAGATTTTGCAAGTTTGTAAGGTTCCCAAGTTGACGAGGCATTGTTCCGCTCTGAGTAGTATATGAGAGATCAAGATACCGCAATTGTGAGAGATTTCCAAGTTGATGAGGTATTGATCCTGCAAGATCATTTGACGAAAGATCAATATGCTGCAGGTGCACGAGATTTCCAAGTTGATGAGGTATTGCTCCTCCAAGAGGGTAATTGCGTGAGAGATCAAGATACCTCAATTGCGAGAGATTTCCAAGCTGATAAGGTATTGCTCCTCGAGCCGAGTTCCCTGAGAGGTTGAGATATTGTAAATGTGAAAGGAGCCCAAGTTGACTTGGAATATTTCCTCCATTTAAACCGCAATTGTGGAGATCAAGGTATCTTAAGTGTGTTAGAGAGCCAAGGAATTCAGGGATGGAGCTATCTTCAAAATAATTGGAACTAAGGTTCAAATACATCAAGTATTGTAACTCCACCAATGATGCATCGATCTCACCTTTCAAGGGGAACATTGGAAAATCACCAGGAAGATGGAGCTTGATGACATGGCCAGTTTGGTTGTCGCAAAACACTCCCTTCCATTCACAGCAATCTGTCTTGAGCTTGATGATTCGAAGCTGAAGAGTTGCTATTGATTTTGCGTCCATGGAGTGCTAGGTTAAATAGACTTGAAAATTGAAGTTTTATTGGTGCTGTTATCATTTCACCTTCATTGTAGGATGACTTTCTTGGACAATTTAACGATGCAGTATCATTTGGACTCATTAAGCATTAATTTATTACACCTTTTTTACCAAAAAATTTTTATTACAACCAATAAACGCAAAGTATAGTACTTCTTCCATTTTTTAATATAAAATTATTTTGTAATACAATTTACACTATAAAATAAGTCTTATACTAAGAATCAGAAGAGTAAATAATTAAAAGTAGTTGCCTAGTTGGATGTCTGAAGATATTTTTTCTTATTTTGCCCATCATTAAACACTGTTTCGCTACAGTCTATCGTTACATAAAAAAGGGCAGCACTCAGAGGCGTTTTTGGAAAAAAGATCGCATCAAATTTTCATTGAACTGTGTAATATTTTTTTATATGTGATAAAAAATAATAAATTGTTTCTTATATATACTGTTTTCGATTCTAAATATAAGATCTAGTTTACAGTGTAAATTGTACTACAAATTAAGTCATATATTTAGGACTAAAAGTAATATAGGTCTATATATATAATAATGGAAGAGTGGTATAATTAAGAATAAACGACTTTAAGATCTTTATACTCTTAAATTATGAGTTAATGGCGCCAATAAAAATTGGTCAGTTGGTGAGAATTTAACATGTAATCGATGAAGTTTTGAATTCGAGTTTTGCTGTCAAAACAAAGAAATTTGTGGGTGAACAATTTGTAAGTGCTTTTTAAATCGGAAGGAATAGATATCGATTCTTAATAGTTAATACTCAATTCATTTAAAGTTTTCTTTATTTATAAAAAGAGGGGAAAAAGGGTCAAAAATTCTTCTGTTTCCCCCGTATCACAATCCCCCTCAAAACGAATATGATTGATCACTAATTTTCCGACTTCCAAGCCTCAAGCCAATCTATCATTTCCCTCTTATCTTAAATGACGTCGTGTTGTGAGGGGACCGGCATAGATTTTTTTTTTTTTTGGGGATTAAATGGGAAATACATACATACACATATAAATATAATGCATTACGCACCAGAATGAATATATATAAAAAAAAGTATAATCTGGTCAAAAAATGAAAAAAAAAAAATTATGAAAAAATTGAAGAAATGTGAACAGAAAAATAGGCACATAACTCAAGGATTTTTTTCACAAATGACAATTAAAGCAAAAAAAATTCAAGAAGAAACAAACAATTTATTAGAAAAACTGGTGACAGTCACGAAACATTTGTTTGGATGACTAGTTTCATAAGAAAGACTTGGAATACTTCAGAAAAGAAAATCTGATGAGAGGAAAACAAAAAACAAAAAAAACAAAACAACAACAAAGGCAACGACTAATTAATTGCACCATCCATGAGAGGATTGAAGGAAAAAACGTCGTCCGCGTATTTTTTTTATAACTGAATCTCTAAGTTGATAATGTTAGAGAGAGTACTAAGTTGTTAACGGTTTAAACAACAAATTAAATCTTATATTAAGAATTAGAGGTGGTAATTGATTCAGTACTCAAAAATCTCTGAGCTGGCAAAATTAGGGATAACTGTACATAGAGAGAGGACGAAGTTAAATTGTTTCTGTGCATTCTAATAATTTTGACTCGGAAAACATATTGGGGTATTGTTGGGAATTTACTTTCATTTCTCCTGTCAGTCATAGCCAGACTTTTCTCCACTATTATCTCTGTGATCTTTAATATTCTTAATTATAAGAGCTAATTGAATAATTTGAGGAGATTAAGGAAGTAAGTTGAATTAGTTATTTGTCATAAATATATGTTGTCTTTCCTAAAATATCCTTACTAATCAAATGTATTGATTAGAACTATAATTATTATAAGGATTATCTTAAAAAAATTAAATAAATATAAGAGACAAAGTAGATTAGGATCTTATATTTAGAATCAAAAAGTCAAACAGAGTCTTATATTAAGGACCGGAGGTAGTATAAAAATTCTTTTAACTTATATTTTGATCTTAAATATAAAATTTAAATTTATTTTATCTTTCATATTTATTTAGTTTTTCTCAAAATAATCCTTGTAATAATAGTAGTTATAATCATATAATAATAACAGTTCTGAACAATACACTTAATTAATAAGGATATTTTAAAAAAGACAATACCTATTTATTACAAATAAATAACTTAACTAATTTTTTTAATCTATTTAAATTAACCAATTAGTTTTTGTATTAAAAACAGGAGACCTTATTAAATATGATTTTCATGCTATTCAAAAAGTTGTTTTGGAAAAAATCGCGGAGAGAAGTATAATCTGACCCCACATATTCAATGGTGATGGCCCAAGCTCTACGGTCAATGTTCAATAGCCCCCATTTTCACTCTAATTTAATTTCCACATCACAAAGAAAAGCGGGGCTGCGTCAAGGCCAGTTTGGACCCGACTACGTATCAATATGAAATCTCATTTGAAAAATGATCAGGCTAAAATTTTTTTGGTTCGTATAGACTGACCGATCGAGTCTGATTAGGCTAAGATAATAAGTGAATAATACATAATAATACAACATCGAGTTACATTAATTTTTCTAAAACGTTCGTCAAGAAAACACACGTCAATTTTTAGTTTTTATTTTTCTTAAATGTTAATGAAAAAATGAATAAACATGAAAAGAAAAATATATCTCCATAGAAGCCACAGCCCACAGGTGGAGATCAGATACTGTGGGTCATAATGGGCTCGACGTTTTATCAAGCCCATGATTCAGCCCAATGGTGTTTTTGTTTAAATGTTATAATAAGATAACAAAAGCCCAATGTTTGATGCAACAACAACTGTCCATGTAAAAGTTATGGTAAATAAACAAATCACCATCCCCGTCATCGTCATTATATATAAAATTTGAATTACTAGCCTTGTTGGGACGGACCGTCCAATATGTGTAATATGTGCAATATGTGCTTCCTTCCTTATGTGTGTGTGTGTGTTATTTCCCCACACTGAAGTCTTGTTTAAAAATGAAACTAAATGGCATTCACATCTCAAGTTAAGGGTTTTTTTTCCCCATAAAAAAACGTACTCCTCTGGTCCTAAATATAAGACCCTTATACACACTAGTATAAGGGTCTTACATTTAAGACCGGAGGAGTATTTGATTTGAAATGTTTTGATTGGGCAGAGCGATATTGTTGGAGAATATAATAACATTATATATTAAAAATGGAAGAAACACATTATTAATACCCGTTATATTAAAAATCTTACGAGTCCTAAAAAACATGAAACTGGGTAATTTGAATTTATAGAGTCCCCTATAACGTTGTAGTGCAGAGAATTGACATAGTCACATGGTCTATCTTCTGTGATTTCAATAAGCTTAAACTGTAACTTTTGGTGAAGAAAGAGGAACACACAGAGACCAGCTTGAACTGTAACTTTAATTAAGTGTAAAATTTGCCCAGTTTTGAATTCTTGAATATAATTTAAGAAGGTAATTGAAAAGCAAAGCCTTTTCTTTTCTTTAAAAAATAGAGGGGGAAAATATAATGAGTCATCGGGGAATAAAAAATAGCAAGCTTATTAGAACCTACGAAAACACAATAAACGTGAATCCAAACGTGATCTTTGGATTATAATTAATTCAATTTATTATTCCCATCATTATTACTTTAATATAAAAAAATTGATATATTATATACCCACATTATATTCATTTAAAATTCTCATCATTATCATTTTAAAATAATAAATTAATTCATCTCACGTGGCAATACTTTTCAGTTCACTCATACAAATCAAGACAAGAATGCCCACGTCATTGATGGGGCAGGTTTGGTAATTGGTACATTCAAAACAAAGGTAATGATCTAATGCGTAAAATAAAATATATGTAGAATTTTTTACATATTTTTCATCATAATCGAATATTTATGTGGCATTAGCTGGCTAAAATTAAAACAAATGTTATATGTATCGTGGATGTCCCGTGGTTGATTGGAAAATAAGAAACTTCCTACTTCAGATTTTGCTTGAAAAAAGACAAATAAAAAAAAAAGATGAAAAAGGCAAAATCTCCCAACTCACACACATGAAACAAATGAGAAGGCTTATACTAAGCAAAAGTCTCCGAAACAATCTACTACATACCAAGCTATTTATCTGTAACAATATACTTTCTTGGTCATTAATATAAAACCTATTTAATTAATTTAATTAGATTAAAGAAGTTAGATAAGTTAGTTAATTATAAAAAAATATGACATGTTTTTCTTAAAATACCATAATCATCTTCCTTAATATCCTCTTTCCCTCTTTTACTTGATTATAGTTAAAGGAGTATTTACAAGGATAATTTAGAAAAAATTAATAAATATGAGAAATAGATTTTATATTTAGAACCAAAATTAACTCAATAATTAAGTCCTATATTAAGGACCGGAGGAGTACTAAAAAGAAGGAAACAAATAACTGTCTCAGTCTACCAAATAATTGCTAAATATTTGAATCACTTTTCATTCGATTTATCTTAATTACAGTTGATGACTTTTAAGGTGTGTGATAACACTCTCGTGTCATCCTATGTTTCTCTAACCAGCTCTTGAATTGTCGTAAACAGAGCGCATGGGAACGATTTTTGGCATTAAGTAGACTGATGAGCATCAAGAGCTTATCACCGTTGTGCCCCATTCATATCTATTAATTCGTATGGTTCAGATTCAATTATTCTTTACTTTTTATTTTCAATATAAAAATATTCTAATGTGCATAAAATTTGAAATAAAGATAAACCAGAGGAATGAAAGCCAGAGGTTTAAATTGGACCGTGACTCTTATCCACGCCGACCACGAATTCATGGTACTTGAAAACGACCACTCATATGTACTCTATGGCCTGCCTCGTCCTCTGTCATTATATAACACACGGCAAAATTCGAACCAACACACATAATTAGTTGAAGATTGGCATTGAAGAAGGCTGAAAAGCTCCATCATGGGAAGTGCCTCCATGCTAGCCTCTGTTGCCATGAGAAGGTAGGCCAAAATTAGAGTTTCATCTGTCAGTTAATGGAACTATCAACTTCCCATTATGTTTCAGGTTTTAATATGTATCCTTGTAAGTAAAATCATTCACTTTCAGGCTTGAAGGTAAGGCGGCTCTGATCACAGGCGGCGCAAGTGGAATTGGTGAGTGTACTGCAAGGCTCTTCTCTCAGCTCGGAGCTAAAGTGGTGATCGCTGATATCCAAGATGACTTGGGTCACTCCGTTTCCAAAAGCATCACAGATTCTTCATCTTCTTCTTCTGCCACCTACGTCCATTGCGACGTCACAAAGGAAAAGGACATCGAAAACGCAGTGGACACTGCGGTTTCGAAGTACGGCAAGCTTGACATCATGTTCAACAATGCTGGTATCGTCGGTGTCAACAAAACCAGCATCCTCGAAAACCACAAATCCGAATTCGAGGAGGTGATTAACGTGAATCTGATTGGTGTTTTTCTGGGGACCAAGCATGCAGCGAGGGTGATGGTCCCCGCACGACGCGGCAGCATTTTATCAACGGCTAGTGTTTGTGGCTGTATCGGCGGGGTGGCTTCACATGCGTACACGAGCTCGAAGCATGCAGTGGTGGGCCTGACGAGGAACACCGCCGTGGAGCTCGGACGGTTTGGGATTCGGGTGAACTGTGTCTCGCCGTACGTGGTGGCGACACCGTTGGCCAAGGATTTCTTCAGGCTTGATGATGAGGGAGTCCATGGGGTTTATTCTAACCTTAAAGGTGCAAAGCTTGAACCTCAAGATGTGGCTGAGGCGGCACTGTACTTGGCAAGCGACCAGTCTAAATATGTGAGTGGCTATAATCTTGTGGTCGATGGAGGATTCACAATCACAAATCCTGGCTTCACTGTTTTTGGGGGATAAAGAGTGAATTCACTGTCACGAAAATCTGAGTTATGTTTTGGGAGATTTGTGTGGGTTTTTCCTCTCCGTCTTTGTCCGATTTGATCACTTTCAGTGTGCGCTTTTGGATTTGATGGATGTTCTATTTGTAATAAACTAATCTATTATATATCCCTACTTTGTTAAGTAGCTGTATGCCTCTTTTCACATTATCACAGTAACGAGTGAAGCCAGAGTAATGAAGAGATATTAGTATTGATGGATGTACAGAGGGAGTACATTTGAATATACATGTATATGGTTTTAGTAAAATTGAAGAAAATGGCAGATTCCATTATATGCCTAATTAAGCTTTCAGTGTGTCCTTTTGAATTTGAAGAATCTTTATTTGCTTGAGCAGAAATGAAAACTCTGATTTTGATTGGTCATGATAAGAACACAAAACTTGTGAGGTGAAGATTATTTTTAAAGATTATCTTATTTAGAATATTTTTTTTTTTTCACGTTCTTAAAATGAGCGGCCTTTTTATGTTTATATATATATATATATATATAACTATTTTTTTAAACGCCAATCATTGTTCAGAGATCCCAAAGACTCCGGCCACATTGTAGAAGTGAATGGCTTTTCATTTACTTCTAGAAACATTATTAAGACCATCGGTATACTTCCCCAGTACGTAGGCTTTCAGACTATTGTTTGCCTTTTGATTTATATATTTCTCTGTTGTAGGATTTTGGACTTTGCTAATCCCCTGTCTCTATGTGACTGTAATAACACAACACAGCGCAAAAGCTAATCATACACTTCCAAAGCAGTTTCACATACTGTAATGACTAAATAAATTTCTAATTGACAGAACAAGAAAATTATTTCCATTTTCCCACACAACAAAGACTAGTCCCCTGACAGATCTCCAACCTCGAAAACCAAGCCCAAAGTAGATGCCTTCAAGGGAAATTTTCTTCTGCCAGAAGGTATAAACTCAGATCAAGGCTAATTAAATATGAAAGCAATGGTTAAAAGCAAAGAATGGGGAGAAACCTAGGAGTATTACCGGTTAGCTTACGAGTCACCTCTTGGATTTTGCTATTCTCAAGGCTGCCTTGACATAAATCCAGTCTGTCACATTGCTCAAGAACTTGAAGTAGGCGTGTCTCCAAGAACGGCTGAAGAGTATTGAGCCAAAAATACCCCAGAATCCTATTATAAATCCGATTGCCAGACTCCAATAAAATCCTTTAGATATGAATGAATCCTCATCTTCTTGGACCCCAGTAGGCTCTTGAGGTGTGTTCTCCTCATGACATGATTTATCAAGTGGTTTTCCACAGAGATCAAGATTTCCCTCATAGCTTGAGCCATTAAAACTCTGCAACTGTGTGCTGATTGGGATTTTTCCAGAAAGGTGGTTATATGATAAATCCAACATGGTGAGACGGTCAATTAAAGCCAGGCTAGAAGGGATTGATCCAGATAAGTTGTTTCTTGACAAGTCAAGAAATTCCAATGACATTAACCTACCAATGCCAAGGGGAATTCTTCCAGACAAGCTGTTTCTTGATAGGTTCAAAGAAATCAGCTCAACTAAACCCCCAATTTCTTTTGGAATTACTCCACTTATTTGGTTGCTCGAAAGATCAATGCTTTTCAACAACTTACTATGCTTAAACATTTGTGGCGCACCTTTCCACATGAGCAATGCATTTATATCATATTGATAAAAGGGTGTTGATCCATTACTGGATATAGAAGGGCTCACTAAATTTGTTGATGAACTCTCTTGAATCATTGCAGTAAAGTTCTTCAAGCATCTGAAAATTTGCCCAGACAGATTATTCAGAGAGAGATCCAAGAGTTGAAGGCTTGTCAGATAACAAAGATGCAATGGTAAGCTTCCTGAAAAGCAATTATTTCGTAAGCTTAACATCTGTAACTGTTGTAATTCATCTCCTATCCATGAAGGTATAGGTCCTGACAATTTATTTTCCCCCACATCTAGCATTTTAAGGCTTGTGCAAGTCTTCAAAGACGAAGACAACTCCCCAATAAACCTATTGTTTCTCATGATCAATACTTGAAGTGCAAGAAGAGATCCAATGGAAGATGGAATTTTTCCTGATAAGTTATTGTTACTCAAATCAAGATAGATCAATGATGTGAAACCGCTCCAACAATCAGGAAGTTTACCTGATAATTGATTACTCGATATATCCAATGAGGCCAACACATCTGCTGAACTGTTATCACATAAAAAGGCAGAAGATTCCGAAAACTTGTTTGCGGACAAGTCAACAACTGAAGCACTACGTAGAGAGGATGGAATTAAGCCTTCAAATTGATTTGAAGCTAGAGATACATCAGGAGAGCTAGAAAATCTTACTGGGGAGTTTGGAATTGTGCCCCATAAGCTGTTGTATGAAACGTTGAGCCACAATAAATTTGGTGTTAATAGACCCCAAAACCATTGTGGAACAGTATCAGATATTCCAGCATCGGAAATATCAAGAACAGAGAAGTTATTTTGAGTATGCAACCAATCAGGAAAATCAGGACCTAGCGTGCAAGATCTAAGAAATATCTGATCCAATTGAAAAGATGGGATCCAATTCTTCCCAAACTTCAATGTTAATGAGTTGTAAGAAAGGTCTAGTGTCTTCAAGTTTGACACATTTGCAAAATGTGACTCAGTGATGACGCCTTTCAGAGAGTTGGAATGAATGGACAAAGTGACCAACTGAGATGAGAATCGAATGCCTTCAGGAATTGACCCATTCAAACTATTTTCTGTAAGGATTAAAGTCTCTAAAGAGGTGAATATGGAAAGATCAGATAATGTTCCAGTGATTTGGTTCCAGCTAAGATCCAAATTTTGCAGAGAGTGCCTAGCACACCCTGACAAATTCCCAAGTATTTTAGGAAGTTCTTCATTCAAAAGGTTATATTTCAAAGTCAAGGACTGTAAGCTACATACATCCCTAAACGATTCAGGTATCCCACCATGTAGTGTATTTTCAGAAAGGTCTAGATACTCTAGGGAAGTCATTTTACCTAATTCATTTGGGATAAGACCTTGTAAGCGGTTATTGCTAAGATCAAGCTCAACCAGGTTTGAGCTCACATTGGATAGCCACTGGAATATAATGGACGATGTGAAACCATTGTCAGAAAGATCGAAACTAGCAAGAGAATCTGAAAATTTCCATTTTGAAGGTGTCAAGGGAATGATATTATCATCAGATAGACTACAACCTGTGAGGCTGACTTCTCTTATGTTTGGAAGCTTCCCAATCATTTGTAGCCAGTTGTGAGAATGGTTCAGATTAATCACCTTGCTCAAGTCAAGTCGAGTTAAAGAAGTGAGACTAGATAGCCACTGACCTGCACCTTGATCCTTGTCTTCAAGTGTGAGAGCAGTATTGAATCCAAGGTCAAGCTTCTGCAACTTCGAAAGATTCCCAAGTTGATAAGGTATTGTACCTTCAAGAATATTCTCTCCCAGATCAAGATACCGCAACTGCGACAGATTTCCAAGCTGATATGGAATTTCACCTCCTAGACCGATCTTTTCAAGATTAAGATACTGCAAGTTCGAGAGATTTCCAAGTTGGTTTGGAATTTGTCCGCCAAAATAGCAACTTCTGAGATCAAGGAATCTCAAGTTCTTGAGAGAGCCAAAGAAATCCGGGACATGATTGTCTCCGAAATCATTGTAACTAAGATTCAGATATTTCAGGTCTTGCAACTCCAGCAACGATGCACTAATATTGCCCTGTAAAATGAATTGTTGTTCTCCTGCGTCACCGAATTCTCCACGAAGGTCGAGAATTTCTACGTGTCCAGTTCGGTTGCTACACTGAACTCCCTCCCATTGGCAACAATTTCTCTTTTCCTCTTCACTTCCCCAGGAAGACAAACGGCCATTGTTGTCCACGAGGCCATCTTTGAACTGAAGCAAGGCTTGCCTTTCCCTTTCTGGACACCTAACTGCTGCACCTGTAGCTCTCAAAGTATCATTGAGAACAAAAAGATGAAGCTCGAAAACCAGTATTACTTGAAGGAGTTTGAGAGAAACTGCGTTCAAGATCTTCATTCTTTTGAAAAATGATTAGACCAATGTCTGGTTTTTTGTAATTCAAAAGTTATATTACTAGTGCCTATATATAGTATGGTCTTGCCTACTCAAACCCAATGAACATGTTCACATTACTTAAGTTGAGAAGTTCTCACGGAAGTTTTAAAGCCATTGCACTGCCATCTTCTTTGAAAAGGACTCAATCACTCAGGTGCACAAGAGGAAGATCCTTCGAGGAAAATGGCAACGAAGGACTCAAATATTTAAAATTAATAACTACTGTTAAGAGGGGCCCTGTGACTCGGATTAATCATTTTTCTGCAGATGGCTTTAGCCTTATTCAAGTGGCATCACTTTCGTAGTCTCCTCTTAATTAAATATCATTGTTCTGCCTTGGTTCAAGTATTTTGGCTCTAGTGTATATTAGTAATTGATTGATTAAAACTTAACTCAATTTAATCGACATTTACTCTAATAGTCAAGTCAAGGACAAACCATTTAGCATCACAACAGTCCATTAAAAATGGGTAGTTTAAAACACTAGATTCCATAAACCAAACAATTTGTTAGTAAGAAAATGGATAGACACAAATGACAAATTGCTGCCTAATTTTGAGATTTATGAATAAGGCTAATTGCATAATGTGTGTGTATGTGTTAAAAGATAACTTTGGGCGAAGATTCATACACAACAATGGCTACTTGTTGAGATATATAGTGCATATCAAAACGTCTGGAAGGAAGAAAGAAGCAACTTCGCTTTCTCCCTTTAGGCCTCCAAGTTGAGTTTATCAGTTACAATAAGCAGCTGCCTTTGTGCTTTCTTCTTTTTCCTTTTTGGAAAAATTACCCATAAATTTCACTTCAAAAAATTAAATAGAGAGGCTCCCAGTTTAAGTCCAGATATATAGCCATTGAGCTCCACCTTGATCGTCATCTTTAAGTTTGAAAGCAGCATTGAATCCAAGATCAAGCTTATGCAAAACTTCTCTAGCTGATAAGGTATTGTGCCTCTTCGTATAAATGTATTCCAAGTATGAAAACAAATGAATTAATTTCAAGAAAATGATATTTTATAAATTATAAAAAAATAAATTAAAATATCACAAAACATCTTTCCCAGCACGCGTACCTACCCACCAATGAAATTTTTCCAAAGGAAGTGGCCGCCCAATGGGATTGTCCATACTTCATAATCAAGTGGGCAAAGTTTACTTATAGTTAGGCTCCCTATTTCTTGTTTGAGCTACAAAAATCATGCATAAATTTCATTAATAGCTGCTAAGCCATAATAAATTAATGAAACATTTTATTTTAAAATGTCACACTCTTCACAACTCTATAAATATCATGGTTTCTAAATTCTAACAGCACATAGGCATATAGGAGTACTTATGAATCAGATTATGCTAAGGTTTTTTTTTTTAGAATTTGAAGAGCCAAGAGGAAAAGTAAGAAGATGCAATAAACAATAATATTAGAATATAGCAGCCAGTGGAAGTGGTGGCAGCTAATCAAGTCAGTGATGGATGGCTCCGTACATTGATCGATTCCAATATTGCAAATTGCCAAATAGTGCTGTGCTGGCGGGACTCGCCACTACTAATAATTTGAACCCCCCATCAAAGCTATAACCAATTTTAATATATTTTTTAAATTTAATCTTTTTCACCTTTTAATATTACAGTTAAAGTTTAGGTAAACATAATCGAAACTTGAAAGATGCGAACTTTAGAGGAAGGCTTGCTGAAAAAGTTATAACGTTGCTGTGCGCGGTAGAATAATAACTGTAGCGGGAAGCCTCTCTTCTTCCTTACGGTTCTCTTATCGTTCTCTTCTCTAATTTTCACCCTCCATTTCATCTCATGGTTATGGGACACTCAATAAAATATTGACATTTGCACATACAAATATAACATTTTACTGTTTCACGTCAGAATGAAAATTGTTCTTGCATATTAAATTAAACTCGAGGCAAGTTGTGTTATTCAAATGGGTATGTAGAGCATTTAGGAGAAGCGGCTTTTTTTAAAAGGGGAAAAAAAGGCAGTTAAATTTAAAATCGAAGACTCACTGTTTTGATGCTATTTTACTACAAGTCTCAGCATTTTATTGAGTGTTTCGTGACCGTTGGAGGGTGGGCATTAGAGAAGAGGATGATAAGAGGACCGTAACACAGAGGAGAGGTTCGTTGTCAGATAAATGTAAAATCTTGAATTTATCGCTATTCTGCAAGCGATTCACAATGTTCCTGGGCTGTGCCAAGATCACTAATAGTATGGGCCCATTATTCAATAAATGGGCCGAGTGATGGGGGAGAGAAACCCAATTTTAAGCCCAAAAAGTGCGAGCTGTTGCTCCATTAGGATTAACTGGCATCCATTTGACGTCATGACAAACCCAACAAGCTGGTTGTTGTGGGAAGCATTTGGAGGGCATTTATCTTTGTGTCCTGGAACCAAGAAGCTCATCCTATTATCGAACTTGAGGTCGTCTGTGGCATTCTGAATGCTGATGAATACATTAAAGCGTCCAAAGGTGCCTTCATTATTATTAGAGTCTAATTAATCAAGGTTCTGCACATAGTAAGAGTGACATTATTATTGCTTCTGGACCAATTATGGTACACGTGCATAAGATTGGGAAGTTCTCTATGTACATGGTAATAAAATACACTTCTCTAGTTTTTAATATAAGACTTGATTGACTGATTTAGATAGTTTTAAAAAGTTAAAAAAAATTACTTAATTATAACATATGTTACATAATTTTTTTAAAATACTTTTATATATTATTAGATTATATATCAGTTCATAAGTTAAGCAAATTGGTTTGAAAAAAAATAAGACATATAAATATTTTAAAGTAACTTTTAAGTTTCCTTAATCTTTTCCAATTAGTGAACTTGCTAGGTCTCTCAGTAGTCTATTTCTCTTAACTTTTCATATGTTATAGTAAAATATTAGTGCTAGAAATTCAGCTTTATATATATGTTTACATGTGTATATCAATGCAGATATATGCACGCATTAGTACTGCACGTAAGTATTAGTACAGCGTTTTTTTGGACAACCAGGGAAGTCGGGGGGAAAAACAAATGCATCATTCAAGAGACATATGATCATACATCGCTAGCATTATTACCCTCTAATTGAAATTTGCTTTGTGTCAAGCCCATGCTTCTTCCTTCCCCAATTTTCCCATGCTTTATTAGAATATCTATGTGTGTATATATATATAGTACTACTATAAAATATTTATGTGTGTATATATAGTACTACTATATATGTCAGTTAATTAAGCTTATAGTGGTGAAGAAAAGGGCACGTATAACAGGGAGTCAAATTGGCATGATTTCTTCATTAAATTTGATTGGTCCAGTGGTGTTATGAGAATGGATTAAAGTTTCAGACTGCTCTTTTTCAACAGTCACTCCTATTTTCAGGATCCGAACTGGTGAACAGGTTGATGTTTCTTTCTTGGTCCATCTCATTGCATAAACACGTTTGGATCCGTAGATATATATCTATTTGCTGTGATTGTGATTAGGAAATGTATAAAACCAAGTAGTTCATCTGCTCAATATGTGCAGCTGTCTTCTTGTGGTTTGGTGAACTTCTTAACGATAATTAAAGAGTCCCTGCTTGGATGGCGCGCTGTTCATATTAGGTTATCCTTTTATACGCCTTTTATTAATATTCTCTTTTTCTACCATATTTTATTATTAGTCCTTCACTTCTTAATATGAAATCTATTTAATTAGATTAAGAAAGTTAGGTAGGTTAGTTAATTATAAAAAATATAACATGTTTTTCTTAAAACACCATGATTATTTTTCTTGATATCCTTTCTCCCTTATTTACTTGATTATAATTAAGAAAGTATCCATAAGGTAATTTAGGAAAAACGAATAAATATGAAAAATAAGTTTTATACTTAGAATCAAAATTAACTTAATAATTATATCATATATTAAGGACAGGGGAGTATTATTATTGACATCAAGACTCTATGGAGCAAGTTTGGGTATATACAATTCTGAACACAACTTTTTAGTAAAAATCATTTCATATTCCCTCTTGATTTCTTTGAGACAATAGAGCCAGTATTTTTTTCTATCACTAAATTTACACGAAATAAATGTGCCGGTAATTTCTTACACTAATCTTATTCAGTTTGCAGCTTACAAATACTTCTTTTATTATAAGCCATTTGGATAAATTTTAATTAGTCCGCTCTAAATTAGAAGGAAAAAGACTCAAGACCCGCTTTAAAACGGCGTCGTAGAACTGCTGGAAGC